AAGAATGTAACTAATTTTACAGTAGGAAACACTTTCCCTTGCCTTTTTTAGGCTGCATTTACCAAAACGACCTCTCTTCGTGTTTTTGGTGGTCTGTGATTTTGATAGAAAGAATATTATATTGTGGAGATATTGTAAGAATTAATTTTATAAATAGTATATAATATTTTAAAAATTATTTAATTATTTAAAAATTTAAATAATTTTTTATTAAATTCAATCAAATTCTTTTTTTTCAAATCAAATAATTTTTTATAATCAATACTTAATTAATTATTATTGATAAAAAATACGATATGAACATATTGACATATTATGTAAACGTACCACATCATTATGTATTATGAAATATTAACATGTTACGTTAATATTATATGATATATAATAATAAGTGATATTTTGATTAACAACAGTTATTCAATTGTTAATCAAAAAAATTTATTTAATTTAAATTAAAAATATATAAACTTAATTAAATACAATAGAAAAAATTATTTAATTTTTTTAAAATTTTATGTCAATTAAATTCTAAATTTTAAAGTGAAAATGTTAAATGCATATATTTCATACTCACAAAATTCAAATCCTTCACCTAAGGATAAAAGAAAAAAAAATGATATAATATCTTAAAAACCTCCTAAACTATTTAAAAAAATTCAAATAAATTATTATAATTTTATTGTGTATAATAAGATTTTATATTTTTATTTTGAGTCAAATAAGCTCTTATAACTAATAATTAACTTAATCAAAATATCATATATTATTTTATATAGCATGAAGTTGACGTGACATGTTAAAATATCATAATTGATGATAATATGACATGTAAATATATAATAACTGATGTTAATGTAACATGATAATTTAGCATAATAACATGATTATGTAACATTTTTTGCCATTCAAATCAACGTTATGTTATTATTACGTAGTTATAAAATGATAAATGATATTTAGACTAATAATAATTAATCAATCATTAGTTATAAGGACTTATATGATTTCAAATAAAAATATAAAAACTTGATTAAATGTAATAAAAAAATAAAAACTTAATTGAATTTTTTGTAAATAATGTAGAAGTTTATTTGAGCATTTTGTTAAAAAAAATATATTCTTTCACAATGCTATTAAACTTTGTGACAATATAAAAACAGATAGAAAAAGAAAGCACACTTTAAGTAGTTGGTATAAAACTTTGGCTTGCCCTACCCTTGGTTTTAAGTAGTCACTGCCAGAACTGGGAAATACAACAAAAGTATACCACTACAGAATAAGGTATAGAAATGCAACAGTCACATTGTTTTCATACCCTGAATATGGTAGTAATTCAATCATATTCACAAAGCTAAAGCAACAGGAAACATCTTCCTGAAGGTTGAGAAAAGAGCAATATCAAAAATTGAATCCACCTTATTCAGTCAAGATAAACTTTAATATCGATTCCATTATCGATGAGGGACTGAACCACTGCTCTGATTTTTCCTTCAAATTTGTCCCTCTCCCTGGGAGTGTAAGAAGCAGTATATACATCTGCTTCTCTTGCCCTCTCAGCTAATATCCGCCCGATTGCCAAGCAAGCAGGAATATCTGATCTGGATCTGAGTACGGCTTTAATGTCTTTTGAGTTTGTGCCAGCAACAGCAACCTGCTTACTTGTCACTCTATGAGTAAGCGAAGCAGAAACAAAGCGCTTTGAGATGAAGACGTCAAGTGAAAATGGCTCCATGTAGGCTACAGTCCGTTGTTTAAACGAGACATGTTTGTTTGGATTCTTTGACTTCTTCTCCTTCTGATAAGTGTATGGCCTGCTATTATCATCATCAAGAAAATCCTCTACTCCGAAAAAGCTTCTTGGTGCACTATGAACCTGTACAAGGGAAAACAGCGTACACACAGTCAAAGACATTTCCAATTCCTTTATTTTGAGTCAATAAGTCATTGTGATTTCTATACAGTTTAAAGTAACTGTCACCTTTGCAAGCTAACAAAGCAACATTTTAGCATCGACTGAACTTGAATTCATTGCAGGAAGAGAAAGGGATTGAGAATCTTTACAAACAAGGTTATCGTGATGCAGCAAGGGCTTGATGATTGTATATTCAGTAGTACAGATAGGAAGAAAGGAATGAAGTAGATAGTTTAAGGGGAAAATAACATCATCAAACTAGATTTACATGACATTCTTTCAATTACCAAATCAAATAAATGGAGATGCATGAACAGCATATGTAAATGCCTTCTCTCATCTGTTCTCTTTTCTTCTCGACCATATTTAGACCCCTCCATGCGGGCCATGTTGAATGTTTTGCTCTAAGATTTCCATGTGGAAGAGCTTCCAGTAAGTTCTTAATCACTCCACCCGTTAAGTAACATTAATAGCATCATATATAGCCATCAAACTTTGGCTAATTAAAACAAGACCGAATTGGATTCTGCTGTATGCTAGTAATTTCATACAAGTTGATTCTCAAGCTATATATCAGCTACCTTTCACTTAAAATTCACCAACTAATTTTTTGTTCATCACACAAGTAAGATTTCCAATGTTTCCATGTTCTTTGTTTCTTGAAATATCAAACAATGAAGACAAATTCTGGACATCGATTTGTAATGGGTTTTGGTTCTGATTAACAAATTTCAAAGACAACAAGACTTGGGTATCCAATAAAAATTCATAAAATTTACACAAAAGGAAAAAAAATTACCTGTCCAGCACGAAAAGAACTTGTGGGCAAGTACAAGCAAGGCAAAAGAAGCTTATCTCCAGAATTTGTAACTACCCTTTCGCTCAAAACCTTCCCTATTGCTTGCCTCAACATCTTACAAACAACACCCTGAAAAAAAAAAAAGAAAGTGAAAACATGAATGGCAATTACCGAGCAGAGTGTATAGAGAAGCATTATATCGAACAGCTAGAGCGCATTGTTTAAAAATAGTGTAAAGAACCTCAAAACGGTGTTGCTCGAACTGTCCACAAGTTGAAAAATTGTATGCCAATTTGAAGTATAACAGCTAGGTGTTTTTGTAAGAACCAAATTAGAAGGAATTGGAGAAATAGAGAGCTAAACCTGGTGTTAATGACAAAGACAAACGAAGAACAACTGCGAAATTGTACAGAGCGATGTTGCCTCTTCAATCAGTTTTAACAAAGGGTAGTTGGGGAAAACAACAGCATTTGAAAAGTTGAATAAAGGATGTGCGGCTCCAAGATCGAACTCGGGACTTCTCGCACCCAAAGCGAGTGGAGTAACAGCACGACGTTAACGTCGGATCAATTATTAACCCATGCTAACGGCTTAGGTGAACATGGTATAAAAGGATTATGCCTTTCAACATCTCATTAAAACATTATGAAGTTTGAATAGTTACTTCCGCAATGCAAAAAACAAGCACCATGCCAGCTTTCATCATTTCATGAAAACAACCCATAAGAGGAGACTAACTTTAGCTGTGTTTGGTTGATTGAATCCATAGCTTTGTTACACAAGGAAAGTAACAATGTTTCTATCCCCTTGTCCGTTCATTCTAGTACCAGGGAAGCAACACTGTCAAGCTAGACATAGTCATTGCCTCTTGAAACAAGTTAAACCCATTATTAGTGGTTTACACTTGAGCCAGTAAATCATTGTAGGACAAAAGAGGTTTTCTGGTGAATGGTGACAAACCTACTCCAAAAAAATCTCTCTTTGGGCCAAAATATCAGAATAACAGTACCAGTTTTACAATGATATGAACGTAGAGCGTCTAGTAAAGATTTTAGCCTCCTCCACAATGAAACTGCCTTGTTTCAGGAGGTAAAAATGTACTCTCAAATTTTTCTAGGCCACATAAGTGAATTTTTTCAATTGAAAATGGAAATGATGAAGCTAACACCTGAGGTAGGAGAAAAACAAAAGCAAAATCCTTTAATGCTCAGAAGACATTCAATCGTAGAACATGATCAGAAAAGCCATAACAAACATAAAGAAAGACCAAATTATTACCCAAAGAGAAGCTATAAGGTCAACTCTGATGCAGATATAAGAATTCATCATCACTGCAAGTTTGCAACTAAAGATCACAGATTTGCATTAGTTCACTTTCCGACAGTCTACATCAAATTTTGGCCAAAACAAAATGGTTAATAGTTAAGGCCATGCATGGTTTCCAACACACGAGGGCAAAATTAATTTGTCAAGTTTCTTCTAGGTTCTTTCCAGTTTCTCCCATGGTCCATACTCAAAAGCTCCTGGTTACACTAAGGTGAGGGAATTAATTATACAACAAACACTATAGCAGATCACTCTAAACAAATAAGAAAACCAGGAATGAACAAGGGATCAAGCTCCCAATAGCCTCTCTAGTGACTATCTTCTCCTCTGTGCTGGAAAGCTGGAATTTGATGAGAAAATCTAGCAAACTCAGTCTCAGAAAATTCAATATCACCAGCTGTAGACCTCTGACTTCTTGGAGCCCTAAAAACTGATTTAGATCCAGTTACACATGAGAGAACCACAACTTTTTGCTCTTTTCACTCTCTTCCAACACTTCCACAATGTCACATACACCCTTACCCAGGTTTGAATCTGCATAATTTCAATTCTTGGATATTGCCTAAACCTCCTCCTTTGTAGTATAAATTTTGTATCTATTCTTTCCAATGGGTTCAGCTCTTAATCGATGAGAGACAACATCACAGGAGACAACTTTGGTTTGACCACTTTTAACTTTAAATATCCCACAAGAAGGGGGCAGTTCCAAGTCTTTGGGCCTTGAGCACATCTCCAGCAGTGTCACATGCAATCTGAAATCAGGGGTGGATTCAATCTTCTTAACTTGAGCATAGTCCTCAGGCATTCCATCCCTATTATACAATGCCCAGATCTGATCAACCTCAAATTTGTCCTCAAATTTTTCCCTCTTAAAATTGTAGCATTCTGATTTTGAAGTTCTGTGAGCTGAAGACACACGTGTCGAGACACTAGAGCTTTTAGTAATACCAACTGTGCTACCATCCCTCTCACTTAAATGCACATCACCAAAAGGCGGACTGAAGGAAGCACTTCCCTGTGTATTACTTACTTGACTGCCTTTTCTGCTCAAATCTCTTGGTGACCTTCGAGGTTTTAAGCAATCTGTAGTGAGATCATTTTTCTTGCACTTGTTTGGGGTGTTAACCTTCTGATCACCTGTGTCACCTGAAGTAGAACTTTCTTTTGGCTGAGTGAAGTTGGAATCATGTATGTCTCTGACACTATCATCCTCTTGACTGCCTCTTCTGTTCAAATCTCTTGGTAACCTTCGAGATTTTAAGAAATCTGTAGTAAGATCGTTTTTCTTGCACTTGTTTGGGGTGTTAATCTTCCGATCACCTGTGTCACCTGAAGTACAAGTTTCTTTGGGCTGAGTTAACTTAAAATCACGCATGTCTCTGACACTATCATCCTCTTGACTGCCTTTTCTGCTCAAATCTCTAGCTGAGGTTCGAGGTTTTAAGCAATCTGTAGTGAGGTCATTTTTCTTGCACTTGTTTGGGGTGTTAATCTTCTGATCACCAGTGTCACCTGAAGTACAACTTTCTTTGAGCTGATTGAAGTTGGAATCACATATGTCCTTGACAGCATCTTTCACTTGACTGACCTTTTTTCTCAAATCTCTTGGTGACCTTCGAGGTTTTAAGCAATCTGTATCGAGATCATTTTTCTTGCACTCGTTTGGGGTGTTAATCTTCTGATCACCTGTGTCACCTGAAGTACAACTTTCTTTGGGCTGGGTGAAGTTGCAATCACGTATGTCTTTGATACTATCATCCTCCTTACCATGACCCTTAAGCATACGACTTGATGCCCTTGTAGATCTTCTGAATGGAGAGGCTTCTCTCTCAATGTCACTTTTATCATTCTTCATTGGAGTGAGATTCTCCTCCGAATCTATCGTAGCTTTCGCTTGATTTTGAGGAAACTTAGGACAAGAACAATTTGCTTCATTATCTTGGTAATGATTACCCAGCTTCATATCACCAGGATCAACCGGCTCATCAAGTTTGGTAGGAAGAGAAGCAGGATCCAACTCAAATGATCCCACAGGAACACCTTCTCTTTCCTTGCCAGTCATTCTGCATGAGGGAATTCGATGTGAAAATCTATATAGCTCTCGTGGCGACACCTGAAATGAGATAACCCCATCTCGTTCAGTTTGTCGGAAGATACTGACAAACCCTTTGACTTTGCCCAAATGAGCAACCCCAATTCCAATTTCCTCATCAAAATCAGTGAGAACCTCCACAAAATCATACTGGTATGGTGGTTTATGCTTTTCTGGCTCTGAAGCCCATTTCACATCCCAATCTCTATAGAGAGCCCAAGTTTCCCCTTTTTGAGGATACACCAAGAAAGAGCATTTACCAAAAGATTTTATGGGATCGATCCGATGAGAGAACATTAGACGATCTACACATCCCTCTGAGGACCCATTGCAGTACTTACCACAAGAAACAGGCAGATCCAGATCAACCCAATTCTGCTGATTTTCCTCATCTGGGTTAGGTTCTAGCCAAGTGATTCGTAGCTTGAAACCAGGAGTGAACACCTTCTTGACCCGTGCATAAAATCTTGGCATGCCATCCAATGTATCATATATGGCCCATACTTGATTAACAGCAAAACAGTTCTCCGCCCTGTGCTTCTCAAAATCACTGAACTCTGGATCAGGATATTCGAGCACCTGGGGACAAGGATTCACATTTTTACTTGATCCAGAACCACCATCAACCTGGGACACTTCATTCTTGTTTTCAAATATGACAGGTTCCTCTTCCTTCCCTTCAGACTCTCCAGTTTTGTGCTTCTTGTTTGGGATGGTGCCTTCAGGAGGGGCACTTGCCTTTTGTTTGACTTCTTTCTGACATACATCTACAGCAGCAGTAGGATCAACTGAATTATCCTTTTTGGACAGACTGTCATCAACCTTTTCATCATTAGCATTAGGTGGTGTGGTTACCTTGGACCTTTTATGAGAAGAGCTTACAAAATCATCATCATCACTCAACTTTTCCTCATAAGAAACATGCCGTTTTTCCCTTGAAGACCTCCTAGGCCGATGACCTCTATTCACTTTTGAATTCATTCCAGTGTTATTAACACAATCTGCATGACTAACCATATCTTCAACTTCATTTCCATGGCCAGTCTCACAACTTTCATCAGTTTCCTCTATTGACTTCCTCCCTCTCTTCTTCTTGGCATTTCTTGAAGTTCCTGACCCCTTGGTCTTTGCTGCATTAGGCTTAGGTATTTCAACACCTTTCTTTCCATCTCTCACATTTGAAAACCCATCTACTTTCTGTTCAGCTGAAAAACCCTTATAAGGCTGGTGCATTTGAACACCTACTTTCTCCTGTTTCTTAGAATCACCAACCGGAACTGAGCTTCGTGCCTTTGAAATAGGATCTGACCCTGCATATCCATGAGGAAAGTGGACACCAGAAGGCTTGCCACCATTGCATTGCGAAGATACTTTACAAGGGCCCTGATTTGGAACTTCTTTCTGATTGGAGAACTGGTTCCCAGGGTATCCTCGTGACAAACCTTGAGGACCCAAGTCACGGGCAATAAAGGAAGTTCCACAAGTTGGACAATGTAACAATCTGTTTACAAAATCTTTGTAGTACTGGTACTTAATACCACAAGCACTGCAGAATGTCCAAAATGTTAAATGCTGTGCCTGCTGATAGGAATACGAAGCTGTGAATTTTGAAGAACCATTTTGGTAATTGTTTGTAGACCCATACTGACTATTGAAGGACGAGGCCCTATTTGATTGATGAGTAGTTGGCTTTGGTGCAGTTCTTGCTGAGATTCTACACTTCATATCATATTGAGAACGTCTCATTTGGTCTGTAAGTATCCTGTTTGCTTCCCCAATCAGCTTGAAAGCAGCCTCAGCACCAGCAAATTTATTCTTGTCTGGATGAAGCAATAAAGCAAGCTTTCTGTACTGCTTCTTGATGGAAATCTCATCAGCCGATTGTTCAATCTGAAGAATCCCATACCAATCCATTTCTGACCCATATAGTTTGCATTTTGCACAACAATGAACATTACATACTGTCAACAATTGTGATATGTTCTCAAGTTCAGGGAACAACTTCTGGGCCTTCAATGCAAACTTCTTTGCACCCTCAAAATCACCATTTTGCATCTTCTGTTCAGCAATTCCCTTTGCTCTGACAGCCTCCTCTTTGTTACACTCCATAATTGATAGGATTTCAAGATCAAATGCAGTGATTTTCAGAACCTATCTATCCATTTTCCAACTATCATCCAAAATCTTCAACCTGCACCAATGCAACCCAAACAAATTTAATCAAATATATCCACCAATTCTCCATCTAAAACCTAAAACAAAAGATGAAACAACTCAACCAGACACCCACCATTTATAGCATCAACCACCAAAAGATCTTCTGGACTCAGCACATCC